AGGTCGTTCAAAAAGTAATATTAATTCCATTGATAGAAATTATTATTTTTCTTGCTATTACTAGTGAGAACTAATTACTAACACCTTTACTGAAATGTATATATACTTAGTTTGCAAAGATGATGAGCTTTAGAGTTAGCTAGATATACTTCTAAATTATGGCATAATATTTCTTAATCTGTTTCCCCATCTGAAATAATTTGATATAGTGTGCATGAAGCACTTGGCATATAGTAGATAATGAAAGATAGCTATGCTTACTACTACTACTCCTATTTTTGTTTTACTACTACTGTCATTGCTGTTATTACTTGTAATAGTGTTTTTTAAAATCCAGACACTTATTGTAAGGATGTCAAAAAGGAAAAATTGCCACTAAGAAACTAAGTAAAGAAAGAGAACAGTGGGGACTATAGCAGACAAGTTTGAGCATATTTTTTCACCAGAATGGATACAATTTACCACTATTCACTTGTCCCTCATTCATATGGAAAATTCTGAGAATGTGAACACAATTTATATTTTGGAGCAGGTGCAGAAGTCTACTTTAGACAGTGTGTGACCCAGATCAACCTGAGAAATGACAAGTGGGAAGTCTTCAGGGAAATAGGCTCCCCTGAGCAGTTTGATCTTGTTGTCCTCACCATGCCAATTCCTCAGATTCTGCAGCTTCAAGGTGACATTGTGAACTGTGAGTCTGCTTTGCTTTTTACCTACTCAGGGATTGGGATTTCTTCAGTAGAGTGTGAATTTGCTCTAATTCTCTTAGTGAAGTATGCATTATAGATTTTATTGATTTCATGTCTTAAAAACTGCTTATGGCCTAGTTTGTGATATTAGGCCTGCCAAAGTGAAACCCATATAATTGTTTTTAAATTAGTTAAAACTTGAGCTTTTTTCTTATTATCGTAGCCTTTAATAAGGCAGCATTGTTGATGGATGTGCAGTGCTGTTGCCTAAAAGAGTAATTTCTTTGTATGCATACTGGAGAAAAGGAGGTTTTTTTTTTTAATATATATCAGTTCTTACTTGAGTTGTCTCATTTCCTGTATTTTTGCTCTTTAGGTTGCCCTCTAAGTATTTACTCCTGTTTGAGCAAATAGCCTAGCTTCATTGTGAAAGAGGCACAAAGAAGGGATGGTTTGGAGGATGGGGGTGGGGAGTAAATGATGCCAAAGGAGCTAAAATTATGTTAAAAGAACCAAAATTATAATGAACTAAAATCCAAAAGAAATTTATCTGTCTAAATAAGGAAAGAAAAAAGCATTCTCTTGCTAAAAATAACAAAGTTATATTTTAAGGAGGAATATGATGACTAGATGAGTAGAATGACTAGATGAGTAGAATACCATTTCTTATTTATCAAGTCTGATGTCACTATTTCATAAAAATGAATCAGTTTTTATGTAGAAAGAAAGCATGAAACCATTGTAGATCATTTTTAATGAGTCCAATTTTTAAATTTATCAACCTGAGAAATGACAAGTGGGAAGTCTCCAAAGAATGAGGCCCTTCTTGATTCTTGTCCTCATGATGCCAGTTCTTGGTATCCGTAGGGGGCATGACTTTTTTAAGTTTCAAATTTCAGTGGATTGGTACAGAGTAAGGGACTGTACAAAGTTACTCTCTAAGAAAGCTGGAATGTGTGAAAAAGTGGCAAGGAAACTAATGTGGAATGACATTATCACCACATTCTATTTCTTTACGTCAGCTAAGTCTGATTTTACCATCTACCTCCTCAAAAGATCAACCTTAGTTTAATTCCAACACAAAAAGAACATGATGTGAGTCCTCCATTTTCAAATAAGGTTGTGTTCATGAATTAACCTTTTCAAGTTTCAGAATCCCTTCATTTGAACCTGGTAAAATTGTTACATATGGTGATAATAGTTAATGAGTTATCATTAAATTTGATTTCATAATCAAATTTTGTAGTGCCATCAGTAGGCTCTAATAATTCTTAGTATTTATTTCTAATCACCTACTGGGGAATATTATTGAGTACAGAGAATTATTACTCAGTAATTTAATATGCATTAGAATTTGCAAATTAAGGTAGGGTATTGCTAAAAGTCACTCTCCAATTATGTACTGTGTGTTTATAGGCTTTATATGTTTTATATGTATATATGATTTGTATGTTTCAGAAATATTATGAAGTAAGATTTTTTTATTTGACAATATTTTGCTTTGTTAATATTTAGGTAATTAAAAACAGTGTTTAAATAGTGACAATTACTAGATTGATCTGTAAAAAAAACATGATTTTATAGGTTGAAATGGTGATAAATCGACAATTTCATGTGATCCAACCAAAAATGCTATACATTGATAGAAAGGTTGAAGAAAAATAATGATTAAAGCCAGTAATTAGTAACATAGACCTGAAGGCTTTTTACAATTATGAAGACTACTTATGCACTTCTCTTTGGATATGTTATTTCTAATTACAGTACTATTCAGAGTTTTCATGAAGTATAACACTTTAATATCCCAATCTTTTGTCTTTATCTTTTAAATTTATGTTACTTTTATCCTTTATAAGTCTTTGAATGTTTCAATTGGCTTAGCAATATTCACTTTAGATATTAACCTTTGTTTATTTTTTTTCAGTACAAAATGTGTGGTGGCAGGAGTGTATGTTAGGTTTTATTGCTGGGTATGGTGGCCCATGCTTGTAATCCCAGTGATTCTGGAGGCTGAAGCAGGAGGATCACAAGTTTGAGGCCAGCCTTAGCAATTTAGCAAGGCCCTAAGCAACTTATCAAGACCCTGTCTCAAAATAAAAAGTAAAAAGGGCTGGGATGTGGCTTAATGGTTAAGCACTCTTGGGTTCAATCCCCAGTAAAA